ACAACACTCTGGAAGGATGGCATGCAAGAATCAAGAAGATAATTGGAAAAGCCCATCCGAATGTTTTTGAAATGATCACATTTTTACAACAAGAACAAAATATTAACCACCAAGGAAGAGATATAAATATGCTCACATCCGAAGCCAGCTCCAGGAATTAAAAGGAATTGGAAAAGCCCATCCGAATGTTTTTGAAATGATCACATTTTTTCAACAAGAACAAAATATTAACCACCAAGGAAGAGATATAAATATGCTCACATCCGAAGCCAGCTCCAGGAATTAAAAGGAAGACACGAGGAAGTGGAATTGACTTGAGTCGAGTATTTAATCCGTTACGGTCAATAACTGCGCCTTCGTGGGAATAAACCGGTTTACTTACCGATTCTTGTTTGTCTACACGTATTGTTTACTCGCCGTTTCTTGATCAACTATTCTTATCAATACACTTATCTAAATTGATGGTTTTACTTGTGGGTTTTACTTGACGTGTTTTGATTGGCAAACCATCGATACTGACCGTGTGATAATTAGTGTCTATTGATAGGTGGTAATACTTGCCCTGATTCATATCGTGTACTTAATATTAAATATTAATGATTAATATATGGCATTTACCAGCTATGTAACACCATCGCACGCCAGATGCCTCCCATTCCCCAATAATATTTTCTTTCTCCTCCTACCACAAGCAGAGTTTCGCATACCCCCTTCCGTACTATGAACATCAGATAATCATTTCGTTAACCCGACTACGTTCCTACTACATTCCGTACTTTACCTGGTTTATACTATGTCCAATATAACGTTTTGATTAATTAAATGAGAGTAAACACTTTTACCTTGTAATTTTATACCAGTTTATGATTACAATCCTGTACAATGTATTTATATTTTATTGTAAAAGCTCCGGCTTGTTTTCAGATCCCACAATCATATAATGTATATAATATGATTTATTACATAAATAGTGTCAACTTTAGACGCAAATATGATGCTCTCTCTGACGTCTGTGCTATAGCATGCCGAAGGCGATGTGCATATTCGTTTATTAAACATATTAACCTAGATAATGTAAAATTGGATAAGATTTTATTGTATCATATACATGTAACCCGTTATCCCCTGTATTCACGGTGTATTATTCATATGATTGATTACCTTACTCATATTTTAATTATCTAAATACATATTCACCAATATTGCAGGTAGATTACCTTATTATCAACTGTCTATAAATTGTGTATGCTTGACCTATAATTGGCATATTATTTCAAATATATATTAAGATTTTTCTAAACTCTTATTGCAAAATTTATTCATTGTTTTAGTAGAGTAATATGGTGTTACACTTGCAACCTAGCTTTTACCTAGTATATCCACACGTTTTTCAATGTTTTCAGAGTCCTCAGAATTTTATCCAAAGTCTGTATATTGTATAGGAGTTCATTTGGAGTTATTATTTTTTCATTTAAAGATTAATGTGGATGAGGTAAATGACCGAATAAGATAATTAGATAGCTACTTACAAACTTCAAAATATTCAAATCAAAAACAAAAACTAAAAATTGAACTTATTGATTCCTTGGTTTCGATAAAACCTGCTAGGACATTAGATGTTGTCGTCCCTTTTGCTATGCGTCTGTTTCTTGTTGATAAGGACAAGAATGGGAAGACCAAGGTCCATAAAGATGATTGTCCAGAAATACAGAGAAATAGGTCGGTTGTATACAACTGTCTGACCGTGCAGAATGGCTTCATCATCCGTAGACTCTTTAGTTGGTCAGTTGAGTGCTATTCTTCGCGATCATGGAAGAGGTACAGATTGGAGCATTCGGTTAGGTTTGGGAAACCCGATGGCATCTCCCTCGTTAAAGGGTCACTTGAAGGCCGTCAATGTGCAACAGGCAAAATCTCTTTTGTGTAAAAGGAAAGCACCTCAATCGTTTTTATGGAAGATTGTCAGGATGTATCGGACCGTTACATATGATCTTTGTAACGTGTATTCAAATAAATCTAAATACTGTCTCATGCGGGATAAGGCGTATTTCTAATTAATGGTGATCAGGCTGGACATCTAGATCGTTTGAAAACTTCGCAGATTAGATAGTTGAGTGATAAATCTGGAATTTACGTGCACACGTCCAAGGAAAAGCAATTTAACACATACCCCAAGAAGGCTTGTCATTCCGTGTTCAAGCTCTAGGGATCTTTTTCCAGTTAACGAACCTAGGAGTTATTTGGAACAATCTACCAAGCTGGGTTTTGATTTGCATAATGACTACCTTTTTAAACCGACTGGATTGGAGTGGGGGAGGGGGTAGTTGACAAAGCATGTACGTTACATCGTCCTGCATGAACAATCGGCTAAAACGTGGTTTATCAGTTGTAGGGTTGGACTGGTGAAACACCGCACAGCATTCGAAGTGGATGCGCTATTAACTTAAGAACTAAAGGCGTATGTGATAGGGATGTTTTGGGTCACGTGGGTTGGAAATCATTCGACATGCTTGGGCAATATGTGGTAACCCAATCAGTTTTACGCCAATCATCGTCTGTACCTCTGATAGCTGAAGATGCACATCAGAGTGAAACGAACTGTGCAAAGATGGCCAATGTTGCTTATACTCTGATGTCTTTGAAAGACCTTGAACCTTTTTGATGCTGGGGTTTCTTTATCACGTTATGTTCAAAATTACTTTTTTGTAGAATGATTTGATATCGAAAGTAAAGAAATTAAGGGGAGAATTACAAGCTCAACAAAAACAACAAGAACAGGAATCTGTGGAAACCATGCCAAGGGAGGTTAAAGGGTACGCGTCGAGAACTTCTAAATCCAATAAAAACAAAGTGATATCGTTTTGGCAACATAAAATATCAACTGAAAACAATGACAAGTTTATGAGTGTATCGTCAATTTGATATGATTCTTTCAATCGTTTAATCTATAGGCGCGTTGCGGCATCCCTGAAAGCGCCCTTTGGTTGGGTTTATAATGCTAAAAAAACCCAGTAAGTTCTCGTAAGAAGCGCACTATCACTATGTTATATATCATTTTAAAGATCTTCATGGGTAAAATTGAAGCCCGTAAAACGAATGTCATTGATTTTGTGCCGCATTTGTGTTAAAAGGAAAACTCGTCCACCTGACTCTCTAATCAAAAATATGATTAAAGACCACGTAAGATCAAAAATCTAAATTACATGTATGTATAGCCCATGGTTACTATATCAACTTTACTACAACTTCTCACCAATCTGATTAAAATTAAGTCGGCTGTTAACGTTTAAGTGTCCGACACGCCAAAACGCTTTTCAAGTTTTCAATTACGACCTTAATCCGGTTGATTGGCTGGTGACGTCACAGGCACTACACATAGGATATACATTATCTATACAATATCTCACCGTCTGTACAATATAGCACTATCAGTACACACGGCAAGTTGCCAAGCGTCTGTTGACGGTCCAATTACCACGTGACTGGCCTAATCATAATCACCGAATTATCGTCTTTCATTTGTGATTGGAATATTTTAGAGTAAATTTCAAATGCCGTATCATGCCGTAGATCCATTTAAGCTGCCTTTGTTTAAATAGGCCACGTGTCAAATGAAGACGACTCAAGAAATTAGCACATTTACCGGTAATTTGGATAACCCCGTAGTACTTGATATACCAAACGTACAGAAATACAAATGGCGCCAGTCATTTGTCGATATATTTATTATTAGCTATATATAATAATAATAACCATTTCTATACATAAAGAACAACTTTTATCGTAACTCCATTTGAAATTTACAGTGAATATGGAATTTTCCGATGACTATGCATAACATGTACAATAGATCGCCCTCATTTCTCAGCCAATCAACGCTGGGAATCTTATTACCATTTACGGTTACATGTACTACGGGTGTAGTAAATGAGGTTAAACTTCGGCACGAAAATTGCACGGGATCATATGTGGAGTTCCTGGTGCCGTTTGGTGAGTGATTAAACTGTCAATGCAATTGTAAAAAACTTTTATTAAAAAGAAGATAAACGATTGTTGTTTAAACGCCAATCAACAAATAATACGAGGCTACTTGATTACAAAAACACTGGTGAGCAATAATTATTGGGTAAATAATAATTATAAACAACTGATGAGTAAAACTTAATGGTTTATACAATTAATGTGTGGGTGTACGATTCTACCATTAGTTCGTTCATGAGGTATTATGCACACGTTCCACTTAGAGTGATGTCTTTGATCTGGCCGGCGTAAAAAAAGATAATTACCTAATCAACATTCTTAATCCAACTAATGCCTGTATAACTTTTATAGTCGGATTGATTAATTAATGACAGATATTAACGACACTACACATTATGTGGAAAAGCGAAGTGCTCGCAGTAAAAAACACATAGCTGGACCGGTATATTATTTACATATTAAAAGTGTTCGTCCAATAAGTTCCATATTGTACAAAATTAATTAAGAGTTCAAGACTTCAAAGTTTAAAAGTTGTAGGCAATCTAAATTGGATCTTAAATTAAAATGAATTACAAAACGAATTATTCCGTAGTCAATTGTTTTATTTAATTAAGAACTAAGAAAGATTAAGGAATCAGTCAGGCGTTAATGAGTACACACGCCGGCTGTATATAGGTAATTAAGGAATAAACATTCCGAATATGCATTCGGTCACTGTGACGTCACTGGCGTCTGAGGGGATTAAGAGTGTTTTCGATAATTGGCAAAGTCGTTTTCACGGGAGGTCCATTTTTACGACTTTGAGTGAAGATAACTGAATTAATTTCAATCAGATTGGTGTGAACTTGCCGTAAAGTTGATATAGTAACCATTGGCTACACATATCCAAAAGTTCCCAAACCCATCTTATGTGCACTTTAAAACAAAATATTTCAAAAGGTAAAGCTATAAACCGTGCAGAGGTTTTACTAGAATGTAAAAGATGTAATGATTAATAACTTCAGTTAACGCCTTTCGCACAGCTGTTCGCCATGTCAAGTCAGTGCCAGCTGTTACTCGTCTCTTGTTAATCTGATACGATTGCTAACGTATGGAAGGTGTAAATTGATATTTCTCAGTTGTGTAACATTTTAAACACACAGGTAAGTTTATAATAACCAAAAATAAGTAGTTTGTTCTTAATCGAAGAATTCCGTTTAAAATTTTCGATAGTTCAGACAGTAGATATTCTAAAGCTACTGGGCCTGATCAAATTCGTCTCTTCCTTTCGAAAAAAACAAACTGTACGGATAATCTGGAAATCAGCTAATGTTATTTCAATACTGAAAAAGGCGACCCTTCTGAATGCGGAATTACAGACCAGTTCCCCTTTTGAGCATCATTGTTAACATTTTCGAAAAATGTGTTTACAAGCATGTCTTTTATAACTTTATGAGACATAATGCAGTCATAACTAACTTACAAAGCGGTTTTATGCACGGTGGCTCAACTACCTATCAACTAATTGACCTTAAGCACTTCTTTTGTCAAGCCATAGACGAGGGTCAGTATACGAGGACGGTGTTCTGTGACATCAGCAAGGCATTTCAAATTTTTGAAAAGGGATCAGGGAACATGCAAAGCCTACCTATATCACCCCTCTCCTTATACAAGGAATATAAAACATATAATATACATATCTCCAATGTACATACTATAAAATAATGGTGAAATCATAAAAATTAAAGATACATCATGGGAGATTTGATAACAAGTTGGCAGTTCTCACTATAATAGTTAAAAACTAGATAATGTAAAGGCAATTTGCTGAAAATTTCAGTCAAATTAATCCACTATGAACCGAGAACAAAGCGATTGAATTTCTGCTTAGCCTTTATGAGACATAATGCAGTCATAACTAACTTACAAAGCGGTTTTATGCACGGTGGCTCAACTACCTATCAACTAATTGACCTTAAGCACTTCTTTTGTCAAGCCATAGACGAGGGTCAGTATACGAGGACGGTGTTCTGTGACATCAGCAAGGCATTTCAAATTTTTGAAAAGGGATCAGGGAACATGCAAAGCCTACCTATATCACCCCTCTCCTTATACAAGGAATATAAAACATATAATATACATATCTCCAATGTACATACTATAAAATAATGGTGAAATCATAAAAATTAAAGATACATCATGGGAGATTTGATAACAAGTTGGCAGTTCTCACTATAATAGTTAAAAACTAGATAATGTAAAGGCAATTTGCTGAAAATTTCAGTCAAATTAATCCACTATGAACCGAGAACAAAGCGATTGAATTTCTGCTTAGCCTTTATGAGACATAATGCAGTCATAACTAACTTACAAAGCGGTTTTATGCACGGTGGCTCAACTACCTATCAACTAATTGACCTTAAGCACTTCTTTTGTCAAGCCATAGACGAGGGTCAGTATACGAGGACGGTGTTCTGTGACATCAGCAAGGCATTTCAAATTTTTGAAAAGGGATCAGGGAACATGCAAAGCCTACCTATATCACCCCTCTCCTTATACAAGGAATATAAAACATATAATATACATATCTCCAATGTACATACTATAAAATAATGGTGAAATCATAAAAATTAAAGATACATCATGGGAGATTTGATAACAAGTTGGCAGTTCTCACTATAATAGTTAAAAACTAGATAATGTAAAGGCAATTTGCTGAAAATTTCAGTCAAATTAATCCACTATGAACCGAGAACAAAGCGATTGAATTTCTGCTTAGCCTTGAACATCATTACTAAAGTCAGTACGATAAACAGCATAGTCTCGATTATCCATTTAATCGTTAAATCGTGAAGGAAAGTTATGCAGTAAATCGGCTCACAATCCACTAAAGATCCCAGGCTAGCTATGCCATCTAGAGTTGACTATGGTCTGGATAGGTTAATTAATGTCTAATTAATAATTTAGCTAACATTTCAGGCCTAAAGAAAGGCCTGCAATAGACAGATTTAGCTCTTGCATAATGTATGTTTAAATAAGTTATATACATACTATTTATAACAAATGAAAAAAGAGGAAGTGCTGTTTTATAACATGAATTAAAATTGTTCTATAAATAGAATCAGATATTGAAGCGTCTGGTAACATCGAAGTATTCATGAACTATTTTAAAGATGTTATTAGATGTAGCCTGATTATCTATGCTAAATGGAAGTGGTTTAATTGATTGCTGGTGTGATACAATGGGCACCAGCGGAGAAAATGTTCAGAATCTTCAAAGAGATGACCGCAGCTGCATGATGGAGCTCGGAGATATTTATGCCCGTTTCGATCGCTATAGCCGCAATCTACTATGTATGATCTGGTTCTTTCTTTTGCCCTGTAAAAATGAATTTGGAATAATAAGATCGTTTAGTTTTAGATTTTGTTTGAAAGTAGTGAGAGACGGAGAAATTCTTATATTGATATCAAGTTTGTTCCATTCTTTTATTGATGAGGGTCCGAAAGAGTTCGAAAAATTTATTGTTTTACATTGGTATTCTGAAAGATTGTCATTGTTTCGAAGATGATAATTATTGGGTCGGTATAATATTAAGTGGCCACCTGTTTTAGTTACAAAAATCATTAATTTTATCGTCAAGTTTTTCAAAATATTCGCGTTTGCATTTTCTTATAAAATCAATATAGTTGTTTCTAATAGTTCTGAAATTCTGTTTACTGCTTTTTTGTGGAAATTATTTTTCTTTTTACTCATTTTTCTTATACTATTATTTATCCATGGTTGGTCCCTCGGTCTAATAGTTACTAATTTGTTTGGAATGTATCTTTTGGCAGATTTTTTTTTTATAGCATCTTGTTTTCGGGTTTTGGAAACTTAATCAACACTACGCAGGGCATTGGTCGCTACAGAAGTTATCAAGACATCCTGTTTCAGTCGTGAAACCTGAACAATTGGTTATAATCAAATCAATATAGCTTCGTCTACACTAGGCTTGAAAAAGCCGGCTTTTTAAAAACCCGGTTTTTTCAAAACCCGGCTTTTTCAAGTGTAGCGTCTACACTGACTGAACGGAAAAAGACGATGAACACCGACCTTCGTTATTTGTGGAACTTCCGGTTTATTTATTACGCCATCGGCTTCAGTCAATTTTGCAGAGATAATGACATCCGGGTACTTGATAAATCCCGGATTTACCGTCTACACACATAAAATTGCCGGTTTTTTGAAAAAGCCGGCTTTTTGATTTTGAAAAATCCCTCAATAATTGCCGGATTTTAAAAAGCCGGCTTTTACGATTGAGAAATTGAAAAAGCCGGCTTTTAGGAAAAAAACGGGATTTAAAAGGCTAGTGTAGACGGTGAATGCTGCTAGTGTAGACGTAGCTTAAGAGATTTATTTCCTTTGTTGTCGTATATTGTAGGCTTGTTTATAAGTCGATTTACAGGCGATACGTTTCAAGTCAGTAGCTTGAAGCGTATATATGGTATTAGTGTCAGTGGCCTGTGGCACGAAGTAACAGTATATTGTCGCATACATAATATATTATGTCAACGCTTGGGCGATATAATATATTATGTCAACGCTTGGAACTAGGATGGAGGTGACTAGGCATGAACTTGCAACGATAGATTTAATTGGCGCTTTGATAACCAATGAATGCTTTGGAGACATATTTTGGCGGTATTTTCCATCATGGAATCGGTAAGTTTCGATTGTTTTTTTCTTTTCTGTTTTTTCTCTCTTTTCTGTGTCTGTGAGACATATAGATTTATTTTGCAATAAACGTACACATGAATACAAATACTAGGCTAAACATGCATATAGGTGAAAATAGCGAAGGAAACCCAAAGACAAAGTGTTTAAAATTTGCAAGTTGGTCCTCGGCCTCGGCTCGAAACAAAAAAACAAGATGGCACCGATAACAATTGTAAAAGATTATTGTTAATATTAGAAAATAGTAGGCCTATAATCAAACGTCACGTGTGAAATTAAAATTATATAAACCATTTCTGGGATACGTGTGTAAACTTTCTTTCAGCTTTCAGATAGGAACAGCTCGAGCCTTGACTCTATTATTACGTATAAAAATAGTCTAAACATGACCTAATTTCAAATGATTTACATGTAAGGCCTATATCAATTATAATAATAATAATCTCGTCATTTTACAAGCGTACGGTAGCAAATTAGGCCTGCCTTTTCTTTCAATTTGGCCTGCCTTTTTTTTTCAATTTGGCCCTTGCGGATTGGCACAGCCACAGATTCGCCGACCCCTATGGGATAGGCAGTGCCGTCGGAAGCGGAGGGGGGCTGCAATAAGTAGCAAAAATTTGTAAAAACATTGGAAAATACCTACTTTTTCGAAAGCATTTTCAGTACAGCCCCCCCCCCCTCAATAGCCCCCCCAATCTAAATTTCGTTCCGACGGCACTGCCTATAGTCCTATATATATATATAATATATATAGTAGTATAGCTATGAGGGAGGAGGTTGAGCATAAACCTAATAACTTTGTTTTGGGCCACTTGTACCTTGACTTTGCTATAATTTAATAACACAAGGTTGTTTTTTGTTTTCCATAAAATAGTTGTTGAGGCCCGGCCTTACACATGGTTTATCATGTGCCATGCTTAGGCCTACAGCTTGCAAAAAGCAATTGGCTCATGTAAGCGCGGTCAATGTTTTTTTAGTCTATACAGTCGTGCCAACAGCTGATTAAAATATTGATATGTGAGCAATATGCAAGTATATATTACACACGATAGAAAGTAAACTTGTTCAAAATTGACCATAGGCGGAATATCTGTATTATCTAGCAAGAGTAGATGAAACTCGCATGATTTTATAGATTTTCAACCCAGGGAAATGAATGAACACCTTAGCAGTAATAGTCAGGTTGTCCTATATAAAAAGTTTTACAGTTAACTATATGGCTAGGCACAACCATAATCTTCTGAGTTGACTGGGCCCCTGTGTGGTCGAGTTGCTAGGACCATTTGCCGCTCATAGTGGCTCGGTAAGACCAACTGAATGATGACGCTTGCTGCTCATGGTTAGGGTTCCAAGTTCATATCCCTGCGATATTGCAAGGTCAACCTTGTGGATTTTTTCAACTGTGTCCCTGCTTGTCAGGTGAGAGCTGACGCAGAAAGGCCTCGTAGT